GAAAAAACAGGATTACTTACGTAACCTGAGACGTTACCCATGCTTACCATTCTTTAAATAGTATTTCTGTTTAGTCCCCTACAGTTACCCATGTACAACTTAGTTAAAGCTCAAAACAACAATCAGCGGTTATGCTAGTACAATTCGTCTAGCCCCCGTCAGTTATATAACTACGTACGACTTAACTAAAGCTGAGACAATAATCAGCGGTTATGCTAGTACTATGAAATATGTTCATATTTCAATAGTATTTTTGTCTAGCCCCAATAGTTAAAATAACTATATACAACTTGAATAAAACTCAAACAATAATCAGTGGTTGTGCTAGCACTATTTGTCTAGCCCCGATATTTAATATAACTACGTACAACTTAATTAAAGCTGAGACAATAATCAGCGGTTATGCTAGTACTATGAAATATGTTCATATTTCAATAGTATTTTTGTCTAGCCCCAATAGTTAAAATAACTATATACAACTTGAATAAAACTCAAACAATAATCAGTGGTTGTGCTAGCACTATTTGTCTAGCCCCGATATTTAATATAACTACGTACAACTTAATTAAAGCTGAGACAATAACCAGCAGTTATGACCAGTACTATGACTAGTCCCCCATAGTTAACGCAACTGAGTACAACTTAACTAAAGTCAAGCAGTTAGTCAGAAATCTAAAACCTCACCTGATGTGCCCTATGCTCCATCTAACCTGAGATTTAGTATGCACTTAACCCTGGACACAGATATGCGGAAACATATGCCTTCTCTTAATCTACTTGAGAAATAACTTCAGAGTAATCAGAATGAATTCAATAATAACAATTTATTAATCAGGTAATCAACATAATAATTCAAAGTCCAATCAGACAATATAAAACTAATCAATCATATAAAACAGTCAATAATACCGAAATGAGAGAATGTATAACTGTTACCTGATAATGAGGACTACGCACGGCAAATATGCGGGAGATCTGCCTACAGATTCCCTGAGCTCTTTGTCACTCACTCTTAAATATCCAGAAGAACCCCAAAGTTACCAAATGGTATTGTCTGTTTATCGCAGCGTTTTTAGCATATAACTTTTGGGGGTTTCAAGTGAATTACTTTGATTTCTGTGGGAGGCTGTCCCTCATTTACATACAGGAGGTAATTTGTGTGAAAGACCTGGGAGTAGTCTATTTTCAAAATGTATGGCTACCTGTTCTATTGTTAAGAGAATGAGACCCCTTTACCAGACACACAGGGACCTTTCAAATGCAAACATGAATTATTGTATTGTAATAAACTCTGATTAAGAAATGTGGTTTTGGTGACCTCTGCAGTGTCCTGTGTTCAGATGGAAATGATGGGAGAGAGGGGGAGAGTAAGTAAAGGGAGTGGAGATGAAGGGTTATGCATAAGGTGTGGAGCTTTTGCTTCTCTCAGTTGGGTGTGTTGCTTTTGGCTTGCGAGACAGAGTTCAGGTGTTGATTCTCATGAGAGTTCCTTGTTTTTTCAGACTGTGACTTTCTTCTGATCCAGCCAAATGGCATCAATGATCTTACACTACACAACAGTCTCAGCATAACTCAGAGCTAGAGGAACAGAACAAATAGCTCCATGCTAGAGTATCCTCTTTGACTAAGAAATTGAACTGCAACAAAGCTGCAGCAAAAACTGATGTGGAAGAAGTTAGTCAGCCTGATAACAATTATCCTGACTTACAAGCTTTCTTTGAAACAGATGTAGCCATCCAATCAGTAACTGATGTGCCTGTAGTTTCAGTGAAGATATGTGGCGCTATGAGAAGATCTCAGGGAATTGAGGGAATTGACAGTGTTCCTCCCAACTCTTCTGTTGTCCAAGTACAAACTGTTGCCAAAGCGCTAGGACCTAAAGATATAGAGAGACTATCCCAGAGCTTATCCTCAGCATGCACAAATTTTTCTGAATTTAGAAGAGCATTGATCAGCAAAATGCGTTTCTATGACATGTCGTTAGCAGAAGTCACACAGCTGATGTCACGAATTCTAACTGAATCTGAATTCAACAGTTTTGAGTCTGCTGTTACTTCTGAACTACAACATGCCAGTAAAGGCGATTTGAGAGAAGGTGTTTTGAAAATTCTAAAGAATATCATGGGACCATTTGTGGACAATTGGACTTTAAATAGGTGTCAGAAAGGACTGTACTGAAACTGTTCAACATTGCCTTAGCGTTCTGTCTATTATAGGCTACTGTTTGAGATCCGTTTGATGAGTCATTGTTTGTATCTATTTAAAGTTGATCTGTGTCTTAGCTTAAACTTGTTCTACCCAGTAAATGGTAATGTATAGCTTGCGTTAATAATTCCACTATCAAATGTGGGAAGCTTTAGCTTGAAGTTGCGCACTTCTTGTGTATGCAACGTTATGTGAATCTGTTCGGTATGTTCACGGGGAAAGTATTATGTGGGGGTGGGGGGTTGCCACTGTTTCTTTTTTCTTTTTTTTCTTTTTCTTTAAATGATACCTCATAGAGATAAATATAAATAACTGTCTTGGAATATTAATGGTATTAATAACAACTTAAAGAGAAAGAAAGTATTATTGTTTTTAAAGAAAAACAAGATACAGGTGCATCTCAATAAATTAGAATGTCGTGGAAAAGTTCATTTATTTCAGTAATTCCACTCAAATTGTGAAACTCGTGTATTAAATAAATTCAATGCACACAGACTGAAGTAGTTTAAGTCTTTGGTTCTTTTAATTGTGATGATTTTGGCTCACATTTAACAAAAACCCACCAATTCACTATCTCAACAAATTAGAATACTTCATAAGACCAATAAAACCTAAAGAGAAAAAAAGTATTATTGTTTTTAAAGAAAAACAAGATAGACATTACTCTCTTACAAGAGACCCATATGACTGAGGTTGACCATTGTAAGTTGTCACGGCAGTGGCCAGGACAAGTGTTTTTGCCTCATATAGCTCACACTTAAGAGGGGTTGCTATTTTAATAAATCGTAGAGTACCTTTTTTATTGGAATATACGGTCAAAGACAGTTATGGAAGATATATCATTTTAAAAGGACATATTGCTTCTGAGATGGTCACAATAGCAAATGTTTATGGCCCCAATCAAGATGACCCTGAATTTTTTTATAATGTACACTTTAAAATTCCCGTCCTAAATCCAGCAGATAGATCGCCCTTTAAATGTTCCACCTTAACCCCATCAGCAAGGGCTGTGAAGCACATAATGGCTGAATTGGAACTGATTGATATCTGGAGGGCTTTTCATAAGACCCAGATTTTTCTTGACCCCATAAAAGTTTCTCAAGAATAGACTTTTTTCTTCTACATAAAATACAGGAGCACTTGGTGGACTCGTGTGAATACCTTCCA